TCAGGAATATGGCCTGAACTGAAACACAGGGTCTCCCAGCATTGTCAGAGTGACCATAACGTGACACTGAGGAAGAGAAACTCAGGCAGTTCTGCTCAGTAAGTTTTAACAACATAAAAATAAACCCTGGTCTTTATATCTAGTTAAGATAAACTGCTACAGAGCAACACGTGGGATCTTACAGACAGCTTTGCACTGTTTTTTGAGATGGAAGAAATGAAGATGGTCAATAAAGCAATGTCCAGCAGCGTCCTCTTTTGGGGTTCCTAACTTCTTTTTTTTCTTAGAAGGATGATTCTTTTTCCGAGAAGGATGATTCTGCTCTCACTGAATAAACTTCATTGTTATATAAGAGAGGCAAAGACTTAACACAATGCCAGCTTTGTGACAGTCATGAGTCTGCACCACTGCAGCAGAGAAACAAACCACTCTTATTGAAGGGGGGACTTCTGGAATGGTAATTAGCCAAGAGGGCAGGACAGCTGAGGGAGTGCTTCTGAAACCCGCTACACTGAGAGAGATGCAGAATTAATTAACTTTTTACAGTGATATTAAACAGGATAGACAGGAACAAAAAGCTTAAGGGAGCCCAAAATTAGGATTCTCTCTGCTTTCCAGTGATGCAATAATATAATGTCAAGAAATACAGAAACAGAACTGTAAAATGATGGCACGTGAACATGGCAGCAGCAGCAGGACAGTGTTTTGTGTTCTGTGCTTTTGCTGTTCAGCCTCTCTCTGCTTCTGCCTGTCCTTCCCAAGGGAGTGGCAGTAATTGCAGAGCCTCTCTGTTCCAGGCCCTTCCCCTTCACAGCACCAGGGCAAGGCCACGCTCGCCTTCCCGTGCACTGGCTTACACTGCTTTTCCCTACCCAACACTGGGCTACAGCATGTACCAGCAGGGTTTTGGCTATTCCAGGTCAAGAATAAACAAGAAAGGAGGTAACAACCCTACATGGTCATAACAGAGCAAATTATGTCCCAGATACTGCTTCTATCACATGGAAAGTTGCCCAGACACCTGTCCTAGACCTCCAGCAAGGTGGGGAAAAGGAGGGGAAACCAGGCTGGTGTTGAAAAGCCGCTCAGCTTTGCCTAGATTTTTCTAAATTCCACTGACTCTTTCCTAAATGGTTTAAGGATACTGCAACAAGCAGTGCTATATCATTTTTGGTATATAATTTTTGGTATCAGTATTACAAAAGATGCAAATGTTATCAACCACTGTAATTTGCACCACTCCTCTACGAGACCCATGTAAGATGACTACCTCAAAGCTGGGAGGAAAGACAAGAAAAATTCAAAAGCCGAATTAATACGCAGCCCGTGGATTCTTGCCAGTTTTTAATTATTCTTCGGCATGTTCAGAGATGTTTCAAAGGCGTTCACTTCCCATTCTCTCCCTCTTACACCTTGGGCATGTTTTCTCTGTACGTGAGGTCCAGTTCCTTATCTGGAATATCTGGTGTGTGATTCATAGTTTTGGTGTTACGTGCAAGTTTAAAACAAAACTGAAATAATAAATAATTCTTCCCAAGGTCAGAGAGTGCATCAGTTGGTAACAGGGAACGAGATGTTTCAACATTCCAAATACACTGGAAGCTTATGTCAGGCAAAAAGAGATTCTAAAATTCAGGCGGATTGTTATAAGTAACAAAATTACATTAAAACCGTGCATACTAAACATGCTTAGACTATTTAGGTGAAAGCATCATCATAGAAGGAAGACAGCAAATTGTGCTTGTTAAATACAACCACTCCACACACAGTGAAAAGTGTGTGCTAATTACATTGTGACTCCCAACTCTTTATCTCACTTTCTGCTAAATGGTTAATTTTGTTTTGCCAACTCACTGGAAAAATGACATCATCAGAAGTACTTGGCACACACAATGCTGTGAAAGAGCTGTGTCAGTGTTGCACAGGTGGGATGACCTGTTTGGTCACCAGAAACCCTTATCAGATGTTGGATCAGTAAGGTACTCGGTGACCAGCAAACTCCCAAGGACTAAAACTTGCAGCACTTTCCACATTTCTAGAAGTAATCCAGGAATCTCTAGAGGCGCAAGAAAATCCTACACTTTTTGAGCATGAGTTTTTGTTTAATGTTTGCTTCCTTGGAGACTTCCTGTACTAGAGATTTTTGCCACCATAAACATAACACCAGAGAATGTTTTTTAAACAGGAGTCAACAGGAATATGATATGAAATGCTTTACTAATATAAATTACCCATGCTATTGTTTTATTAGTAGAATTAAAGTAGATGAGAAGCGCTTTAGGTATAGAAATACCTGATTTTTAAATCTCTGGAGAAAGAGTGTATTGTTTTCCTCTGTTAATAATATAATGTTTTTGCTAACCTAGAAAATCCCTGGTATGCAGGAATGCGGGAATACGCACCAAAACACGTGCCGGGTAGCGTGTTTTAGTTAATAAACTAAACGTACTTTTAGTCAATAGTTCTTCTTCCAGCAATAACGACACGAAGAATAAAACTCAGAAACTGATGGCAAATTTTCCAAACCCTTGGTCGGGTCCGCGCAGAAATTCCCGGGAGCACCTGCCCGCGAGGGGGGGCGGGAGCGCCGGGCGCTGTCACGTGGGGGCGGCCCCGAGCGGAGCCGGGTCGGGACCGGGATCGGGACCAGGGTCGGGAAGGATCGGGACGGGGAGGGTTCGGGCGCTCCCCGGGCGTCCCCCGGCGCGAGGAGGCGGTGGAGAGCGATCCCGGGCAATCCCGGCTGTCCCAGCTATCCCGGCGGTCCCGGCTCCCGGCGGTCCCGGCGCGGCGCTGCGGAGGCGGCGGAGGCACCGTAGGCACCGTCGGGCAGGAGCGGGAGCAGGAGCAGGTCAGCGAGGCGCTTTGGTCGGTGTGTAAACGGGGGGACCGGACCTGTTGCTTCTCCCTCCTCTGCCCTGCCGCGGGAGTTCAGCGCTCCCCACCGCCGGGAGGGCTTTTTAAACAGACGCGGCTCCTGTAAGTTAAATATTTATTCTCGCAGCTCCGAAACTCGAGTTCGGCTGGCGGTTCAGTAAATACACCGCTCTGCTGGCATGGAACGGTCGGTTCGGTGCTGTCGGTAATGACATCCAGCTGCGGCCAAGTTCTCTGAAGTGGAAGCGAGGTGTTCTCCGCCCCCGCCGCCCCCAGTCTGTATTTGAGAATTGACTGAGGAAAAAAAAAAAGAGGTATGTGGGTCGTCTGGGTCGTCGCAGTGGGGAAATAAGATCGTTCAAAAGATATTCGGAAAAGAACAGCTGGAAGATGAAAGTGGCTGTTTTAAACTTTAGTGGGTGTTTTAGCAGTGCAGAGATAAGGGAGGTAGGAGTGTGAGGAGATGCCAAGGGATCTCCTCTTCCATCGGCCAGCACTCGTGTTATCGTGCTGCTATGATAAAAATACCTCCCCCTTAAACATTTGCAAGAAGGATAAGGAATTACACCCATTTGTGTATCATCAGTTGTTCAGTTTTGCATGGGGCAGAATAAGATGCTAAGTAACAATTTGGTATGTCAGTAACTGCACTGTACATAAGTGCAGTGCAACATGTGCTTTTGAAGATTTGCATGTACAGCACATTGTATTTCCACAGTCATCAAGGTCCTTTGCAATTTCAGATTTTTAATTTTAAGGTTTTGGCAGGAGGGGGTATACTGAGGAGCACTTTGCTTTTGTTTCTTGTTGTTTTGGGGTTTTTCAGACAGGAATATGTGACCAGGTGCATGAAGGACTTCATTCTGAAACTTGTATGAAAATGTGGAAAGAGTAGATGGGAGAGTAAAGAAAGCAGAATTTCAGCTTTCCAAGTTTATTGATTTTCTTTGCTTGTGTTCCTGATTTTTGCTTGGGTCTGCTGTATGAACTTGTCTAAAATCAATGAATCTTTATGCTTCCTTCTGTCTTCCTAATGGGGAAATGTTGGGAGTAGAACTAAGTGTACTAGGAGAGTAAAAGGACAAATTGGGACAAACCAAAGTAAATTTGTATTGGATTTAAATGATATGGATTTTCTGTCCACTTGCTCATAGTTCCAGCTGGGAGCAAGTATAAGGGCCTCTTGAACCTGAAGGAAACCCAGTGTCAATTAGAGCAGAGGTAGAACTCAACCTTAGCTTCATCTTGAGGACAAGTATAGCTTGGTACCAGAATGTGAGAAAAAAATAATATGTAAAAAAAATGCAATTTGTAATATATAAAATAATCTCAAGTCCCCAGTAACAAGACTTGAGCTGAGGGATAGTTCAAAACTAGTCTTACCACTGACTGCTGAGGTATCTGCTGTAGAGACATATGACACACCTGTAACAGTTTCAAACTAATCTTAGCATCACTTTAGAAAACTTAAATGCTTTATTTACCTAAGCCAGCTAGTAATCAAGTGTCTTGGCAAAACATATAGCAGTTTATCTGTCATTCATCTGGGACTCTGCCCTATGGAAGGCCCAAATTAAAGGGAGGGGGCAGAAACTTCTTAATCTGTGTGACTGAAGTGTGGTAGGAATTGGGCTGGGAGCATTGTTCCCTGATTCCATGTTCCCTTGCTGCTTTCGTCTGCTGTCCCAGAAAGTAGAGGAATTAGAGGAATGATGGCAGAGGGCACTGCTGCTACCATCTTGATTTCACTCCAGCAACCCTATCCATGTGAGGACTCTGCTATAAGCAGGGAGAACAGGAAGGAAATAGGAAAGAAATAAGATGAGATAATAAGCACTATCCTCCCCTCGCCCCTACTGTGTCTCATCTCACTTCATCTGTCTTCACATGGGACCAGCAGTGTGGACAAGTGATCAGGGTGGGTGTGTAGGTAAACAAAGGGAGAATATATTGATGTAGGAGCACTAGAGAAGTGCTTTCTGGGCTCTTGAATCAATTCTCCCAGTTTCCTGTCATGCCTGTTACACTGAATCTCTTGGTTTCTCTGGACTGACTGTTCAGGCTCTAAGGCAGCATAATGTGACCTCATGTGGAAGAGTGTGTTTGAATGGAGAGTGGGAAGAGAACAGATGGAAGAGAGTAAGTGGAGACCTTGAGAATCACCTCCCCTGAACACTTTGATAGGGTCAGCAAACAGGCAGGAATGGCAGGGGGACAATGTCCTCTGAGTGCAAAAGATGGGAAAACAGAACAGAAGTTACTGAGCCACCTGTTTGTTTTTCCATGTGCAGCCCTGCTTCTAGCCCTCGTTTACCTAACTTGTTTCCTGTTTGCCTCTTTCTAGTCTCTCTCTTCAAAACAAACAAACTCCCACAAAACCTTATAAAGCACTTACACACTGCTTTCACTCTTATTAGGCTACTCAGAGGCAGACCAGAAACTTAGCTCATTTTCCCCACAGCTAAAGATTTGTTTGAGCTCAAACAGCCTTGACCTGGTAAGATTAGCAAAAGATTACCTCATGTAGGTAAAACAGAGCCTCAGTGGGGCTTTGCTTACTAGCAAAAAATCCACCGTCCTCCAGTTCCCCTTCCCCCCAAAAAGATACTTACAGGAATAGGATGAAACCATCTCCTTGCTTTAGAAGTCTATAATATGATGATTTAGTGTTTATCAAAGCAGAGAATTATGGATAAGGAAATGTGTTTTGTGATAATGATCACTCAGTATAGGTGCAAACATGTCAGCATTGAACAAGCTGTACAAAGAAAGGCTTTTCTGTGTTTTCCAGAAATATCCAGTAGTGTAGAAATAGTAATACAACAGATGCCATCGTTTAGGGCAGTAGACTAGAACCTTCAGAAGTCACTTTTCTGTCAGTCAAGTGGCATCATTCAGTCTTTGGAGATGTTCATTGTCTATTTGCCACCTCATCGTCAGAGATCTTTTCAACTTCTTAAGGTATGATCTTGAAATTTTCCTAAGTTGCTGAATAAAGTTTAGCAGCAATGGCTGCCCCTGGAGGCACACTTGATCACTTACCAGACTTCAGTTCGTGGCTATGAAATAACTTTGCTTCAGTAACTTGACTCAAACTAAGAAAGTTTGAGCCATGAATTATTTTAAGTTCTCTAAATTTTCCCCAGTTTGCTTTTGTCTGTTCAGTGCCATCAACTCACCTGCTACTCTGTAGATATGAAGAAACTGAGACTCCCACCCTTGGACAATCTCTCCTTTATCTTTGTCTAAGCACCAGCTCTGAGGTGATAACATGTCTTTGATGAACTGTGACAGCTTGAATTTCTTCCTGTCACACCTTTACAGTTTTTACATAGCTCTCTTCTAAATAGATGCACATTAAGCAACAAAATAAAGGTGCTTTTTATTTATTTTTTTTTTAGCTAGATGCCTCTGCCTATAAGTTTTAGCATGATGTTTTTATTTCAAGTCTCTGTGACCTTCAACATTACTTTTGTTTCCTTGCATCTTCATGTGTTTATTTGCTATAAAACCATTTCCCAATAGCTCTTATTTGGCAATTCATCGATGTAGACAACAAAGTTAAGTTACAAAGATAATTTCTTTCTGAAATAAATATAAAAAGTAAACCCTGATGGCACTGTTGCCAGTTTAGGTCAATTTGTGTTTATACTGTGCAGCTACCAAGTTACAGTGTAGGCATTTAAAGGACTGTAAGCACGACCTGGATTTTAAACTCTAATTTGATAACCTGTAAAGCAAGATTTTTATGAATATTTTGTAGCTTACTAGTATTTCTGGAAGACCTGTGACCCAGAGTTGCTGAGGGCAAAAAGCTGTATATTTTCATACTGATCAAAAAGGAAAATTTATCTTCGCATCCATAAGACAGGACATTATTTCTCTGTCAGATTACCACCAAACAAATGGGTAACCATTAGTGGCTTTCTCAACTTTGTGTGTATGTGATGCATAAAATATAATCTTATATTTATTTCATGTCCACATAAAAATGTGTGTTTATCCGTTTAGCTGAGTTTTCCGGGTAAAGCCTGAAGTAACTGAATATAAAAGTTGAGAACTGAATACAGGGAAGACCAGAGCATTTTTTAGAGGGGGGAAAAAGATAAGAAAGCTGATGGTGACCAGATAGTATGTGGCAGACAGCATTCCTTGAATGCTAAAAGATGTATCTGACTTCCAGAAGGTTGCAATGGCAGAGAGTGAAGTGGTGATTGTATGGGAAGTCTTTTGCGTATCACCAAAGAACATGGTACTAAGTTGATGATGGTTTCCTGAAGCAGATATGAATTTGGAGAGAACAGATCAGCAGGCCTGATTGTCCTTCAGCAAAATCTTGAATTAAAGTCAAGGGGTGAAATAAGGCTGGATGACCAAAGTCAGTTCACACTGATGGAAGACAAAGGTCCAAAGCCTGCCTCTGCTGACTGTGCATCTTGTTTTCATTAGAGCAACATAACAGGAATGAATATTCATAGAGAATGATTCACTTGTTGGTTAGGTCCTCATACTCTTTAAGATCAACAGATTGTGTGCCAGTTAAAGTAATTACTAAAGATAAATCTAAGCTGTTGCATTCTAATCTGGATTTCCAGCACTTACAGTATGGGAACTGCTGTTTTCCTTTATCATCTTCTGGAAACAGGTTTGGTTGGTCTCCCCATTCAGAGGTGACTTAGCTGGGGATTGCCTTCTTATTTCTGTCTCTACTGCTCATAGAAAAAAGTAATTTTGTTTCCAGTTTGCCCTATTTTCGACCCAAAGTTTATTTCAGAAGTCTTAGTTGGACAGGGGAACATATTCAAGTGTCTCTTGAATATAGTGAATCATATTTTTATTCCACAGTACAGTGCAGATGGAAGCATCTGCTTTAATAACACACAATCAGAACATCTTATTCTAATGGCATTGCAGTAAGATTTATGAATGTGTTTCTGTGATGGCGATAAACTAATGCACATAATCCAGTCAGCTCTTAAACAGAAGTATTCTGATGTTTCACTGCAGAGGAAAAAAATTCCCTAGCAATGACCTTGAGGAAGAAAATCTGATATTTTAGATAGGAAACAAGCACAAACCATCCCAGGGAGCAAAGTTTTTGCCTTTTTCCTGGTGTTTGCTGTTTGCAGTATTAGACGGGGAATGTATTAAGATCTTCTTGCACAAGACTTTTTCATATTTTACTTACAATGTTCTATCATTCTGTAGCTCATATGAAATTTCTGTTAGATCATCTTTGGTGTCAGTGCCTTGGTGACATTCTGGCCAATGTTAACCCGAGAATGGTATGGTGATCTCCTAGGAATGGCAGTAGATGATCTAAAGACATGCCTTCCAACCTCTACTATTCTGTGACTCAATTATTCTGTGATAACATTCCCTTCATAAAAAACTGTTTCAAATAGGTTTAAGTGCAGGCCTCTTACCTAATGTTTAGTATTAATTCCATTCCTTTCTTTCTTATGGAAAACCTCTTTTTTCAATTTTTTATGCCCAAGGTAAGGTATGAAGTTGTGCTTTGGTTTATTTGTGACTGTAACCTCCTATGTACTTTGCAATGAGGGTACAAGTGCTGTAAACTCTTTTGCAATGCATCCTTGAATAACTGTTTCAAGAATGCAAGAAGAACAAATCTTAAAATTTGGAGGTTACTTACATGGACCAGAAACACAGACTGGTTGTAGAATAGAAATGAAAGTAGGATATCTGATTCTCTTAAAAATGTACTCATTACATCTGAAAAAAAGTCAAAATTAGTGAGTATTTTCTTTTCTTGAGAGTAGTCTTCTGTAACTAAAAGTGTATGTACAAAATACTTTAGTGTTAGTACAGATAATACTAACCTGGAAATCTCAGTCATAAACATCGTAAATGATTAGTTAACTATTTCTTGAATTAAAATGTTCTTCAATTTAGAAAGCCGAATGAATCCAAAGTAGTAATTTTACCTGAAAGTCCGAAGTGCAGTTTGTAGTCTGATCTAGCAAACTTCACATGTACAAAAGCAAAATCATATTAGAAACTTTTGTTATTAGAAGAAAGGAGAGTTGTTAAAAAAAGCTTTTGTGCAAGAAAAAGATCTGTTCTGGCCTGCTTTTGCAGAGCATACAGTCGTGTTGTGAAAAATACTTAATAACCCACAGTAGTTACTCAACCATACTTTGTCCAGTGCGTGCAACATTTCATAATAGTTGTAAATTAGGCTAAGGATTAAGAAACTGTTTCAAGAATTGTGGTCCAAATCTCTTTTGCTTTGATTGCCTTCTCCATTTTAATTGGGAAATTTGGTAGACTCTTCAGTTTCCTTTGTAGATTGTGAAGTGCAGCTGGTTCTCATTTCACATAAACCACTGGCTGAAGAGGGACTTCAGAAGACTGCATTTTTGTATATTTTTTTTTAACATGGGGAGAGGAGTTTGTGTTCAGAGTAAATGATTTGTTACAAAAGTTATAAATACTCCAGAGTGAATTTAGCTTGGATTCACCAGTCATTTGTAGTTTTTCTTTAATCAGAGCTGCTGATTATCCAGGACTAATTGCGAATGGGACTAGCAGCTGCTCATTTCCTTTGGAAACCCAGATTTGGGTACTTAGAAGAAGAGCTTCCAAATTAGTTGAGACCGATAAAAGTGCCACGCTAGGCAGCTTGCCGAGTTTGCCAGGCAGTATGCTCATAAATATAATTTTACTGTAAATGTGTTTTATTTGCTTTCCTTACCTAACAGAGTAAACAGTAGTGTTTGCAGCACAGTACAGTCATGAAGCAGAACAATCCCTTATCAGTAAGGACTAATAGAGAAGGAGAAATTTCTTCGTGACAGAACGGTCTTTTAGTGTTTGTCAATATGGCCATATTTTTCTTTTCAAGTAGGAAAACACTGGATATTTATTATTTTGGAGTTAATAAAACTGTCTTGTGTATTTCCACTTGGAGTTTTTGAAAACCACTGAAACACAGGGGACTAAATCTTGTATTTAATAAGTAGCAAATCAAATTTTCCTTACAAATTTAGTATGAAAATATAAAGAGGTCATGATTACTGGTATGGAAGCAGATTTTAGTCCATTTTCTGGAAAATTAAATAAACTAAAAAACCTGATAATAAATTCTGAGGAGAAAATTAACTTCCTGCAATGGA